CCTAAGTAGTTTTTATTTGAAAAACCTGTTAGATTTTCAATCATAAAGTTACTGAAAAAGAAGCAGAGAACATTTTTTTATAAAGGAGTGAGTGAAGTGAATACCACATCCATAAACAACGATTAAATACAAACTTTGTCCCAATATAAAACTAAAGCACAGATAAGCAGTACATCTCACGCAGCCACGCTGTGAGCACAAAGCGAACTATTCTTTTGCCTTTTACTAAAGAATACCGTGTGCGAGATGCAATTAGTGGCATACGCCAATTTTTGGAGGGGGTTCTCTTATTTGAGTACCCCAACAATTCTAGTTTCAATTAATTTTTTTACTTGTCTTATAATATAATTTATAGTATTTTATATGAGCAAAATTTGTGCTGCTTACCAAAAAATGCAAACTGCTTCTTCTGACTTGGTTTATGCTTGGCTCTTTCGATTTGGTCCACCTTATAGAATTAGTCGTAGTGCACATAGGCCAAAGACATCACGGTTGAAAAGACGTCAAGATCGGTTGTATGAAAAGACGAAAAAAAGGAATAACATTATGGAAGTGTTCGGTATGAAGGAAAAATGTTTTTCATGAAAAATAGTTTCGTCCATATGGAACACACATATAAGTTGAGCAACTTTTGCAGTAAGCATAGATTTTTGTTGACATCAGTTTCTACGCAACACCTTTAATCTCAGTACAATTAGACACTTGACTTTGTCACTAAAATTGGATTATATGATTTAGTCAATACCTTTTTGTTATGACAAGGGAAACTCGCAGTCACTAAAACCACACAGGAGAGGTAAAACCGGTGCGACGAGCTCGACCCAGAAGGCAAACCCCTTGCTTTCGTTGGCAAGGAATTTCGAACTTAAGACCTCCAACATGGAAGTCCCAAGCCCAAACTACTGGGCCACCCTGAAGGGTATGGTTTACTCAATACTGAAATTCACAAGGGCTTTTTAATCTTATTTTAATTTGCCCATGAGTATGGTAAAGATTTGTTTGTTGTCTATCTGGTTTGCTATAAATGAAAAAAGAAGAAGATGAAGGGCAATATATCCCTCATCGGTTGACACAAAGGACAACAAGTATAAAGATGGGTATAAAAGAATAGGAAGGAGCATCTAGAAACATACTTACCTGGACGGGGTCAATGGCCGATCAATAAGACCCATGGCCTAGGTTTGTGACCTCCATTGCACTTTGGATGGGTGCTTACCTAAGGTCGGCCCAAGTGGTCTAGCCTACGTCATAATTTGTTGCAGAGGGGGCCTGCGTTCGCGCAGCCCCTACCAATCCTTAAACAAAATCTTCTTATAATTGGTAGAATCTGTAATAATCAATAGTGTGAGGCTGTGAGCAATCACTTGGCTGATTGATAAAACCGAGCTTTCATTCAAATGTCACTCGGACTCTTTAACAACATCTCCCTTCTATCTCTACTTGAATTTTCTTCCTGAGCTGCGGAATTAACGAGTTTGATCAATAGAGTTTCATATTTGCTTGAAACTCGATATAATAGAGTTTGAGCAAAAACTACCGAATCTTGACAAAGCCGTTATTATAAAGGTAGCTCTGCCACTGATTATGTTGAAAGTTTTATATTCCCAAGGACTTTTATATTTGGTGACCTCCATTGCACTTTGGAGGGGTGCCCGCCAAAGGTCAGCCCAAGTGGTCAAGCCTAGGGGTGTTCACATGTTGGTTTGGGTCGGTTATTGGTCAAAACCAAAACCAAACCAATTTAATCGGTTTTAAAATTATCAAAACCAAACCAAACCAAATATAATATATATTTATCGGTTTGGTTGTTTTCGATTTTGGTTATTCGGTTATTAACCATACATAAAAATAAAAGAAACAATTCACTAAAAACGTGAAAAAAGTGACAACAATCCATTCAAACGAAAAAATAGTTAGAATGACTGACATTACAGAACTTTCGATCATTGAATTTACTGAATAAAATTTCAAAATTCACTATTTTGGCATAGAAGGAAGAGAAAATGACATTTTCAGTCCCACAAAGAATTTTCATAGACACTCATATACATGAAACCAATAATAAAAATATTCTCACCTTGGACATTTTTTCTTTCATAAGTAAATTATAAATAAATTTTAATGAAACATATATAAAATCTTTAAAATTGTTTATGAATATAATATATTATGTATGTATAATAATAAAATTTATGTATATAAGTTGTTGGTTCGGTTCGGTTCGGTTATTTCTTCGATTTTTTTCGAACAAAACCATAACCAAACCAAATACTATCGGTTCTTAACAATCTAAAACCAAACCAAACCAAACCAAAACCAAAATTAAATCAGTTCATTTAATCGGTTTAATTTGGTTTTTCGGTTTGGATCGGTTTTTATCCAAACCATGAACACCCCTAGTCAAGCCTATGTCATAATTTGTCATAATAGGTGCCTACGTTCGTGTGGTACTCAATTCTTAAGCAAATTTTTCTTGTTTTGTATTTACTTTGTGTTCTTGTAGCCAAACAGTGAGCTGATGAATGCTTGATCTTTAAGTTTTTACAACATATAGAATGATTTCCTCCCTGCCAGAAGCACTCTGGGGCACACCTTCAGTTTCTTCGTTTTTGAGAAGTCCTTTCTTTATATTATCAGGGCCGTCATGAGTGATGTAAAAATCAGTTTCATTTGGATATAAAGATGGTTCCTTCGGGTGGGCACGTCAAGCTCTAAAGATCCAAACTAGACGGAAGCTCTAAGATCTTCTAAAGATGCGTGATGCATGACATCTAGCTAGCTACTCAAACATACACTAGCATACAAAAGAGTACGAGCAACTAGATTATAAGGCCAACTTTAAGTAAACAACAGAAAACTGCTTTGTTTTCTGCTTCTACCTATTAGGTCCTTCACTATACACTTTAAAAAAGACAACCTGCATTCGAGTTCAGCTATTCAAGATGCTCAGTTCGCAACATTTTATCCATCATCTTGTGAAAATATATCTCCTTATAATCACAAAGATACCAAAGCGAAATCATATCTTAAATTAATTGATCGAGAAAGTATAAAACAGGACAGCCTAAGTAGTTTTTATTTGAAAAACCTGTTAGATTTTCAATCATAAAGTTACTGAAAAAGAAGCAGAGAACATTTTTTTATAAAGGAGTGAGTGAAGTGAATACCACATCCATAAACAACGATTAAATACAAACTTTGTCCCAATATAAAACTAAAGCACAGATAAGCAGTACATCTCACGCAGCCACGCTGTGAGCACAAAGCGAACTATTCTTTTGCCTTTTACTAAAGAATACCGTGTGCGAGATGCAATTAGTGGCATACGCCAATTTTTGGAGGGGGTTCTCTTATTTGAGTACCCCAACAATTCTAGTTTCAATTAATTTTTTTACTTGTCTTATAATATAATTTATAGTATTTTATATGAGCAAAATTTGTGCTGCTTACCAAAAAATGCAAACTGCTTCTTCTGACTTGGTTTATGCTTGGCTCTTTCGATTTGGTCCACCTTATAGAATTAGTCGTAGTGCACATAGGCCAAAGACATCACGGTTGAAAAGACGTCAAGATCGGTTGTATGAAAAGACGAAAAAAAGGAATAACATTATGGAAGTGTTCGGTATGAAGGAAAAATGTTTTTCATGAAAAATAGTTTCGTCCATATGGAACACACATATAAGTTGAGCAACTTTTGCAGTAAGCATAGATTTTTGTTGACATCAGTTTCTACGCAACACCTTTAATCTCAGTACAATTAGACACTTGACTTTGTCACTAAAATTGGATTATATGATTTAGTCAATACCTTTTTGTTATGACAAGGGAAACTCGCAGTCACTAAAACCACACAGGAGAGGTAAAACCGGTGCGACGAGCTCGACCCAGAAGGCAAACCCCTTGCTTTCGTTGGCAAGGAATTTCGAACTTAAGACCTCCAACATGGAAGTCCCAAGCCCAAACTACTGGGCCACCCTGAAGGGTATGGTTTACTCAATACTGAAATTCACAAGGGCTTTTTAATCTTATTTTAATTTGCCCATGAGTATGGTAAAGATTTGTTTGTTGTCTATCTGGTTTGCTATAAATGAAAAAAGAAGAAGATGAAGGGCAATATATCCCTCATCGGTTGACACAAAGGACAACAAGTATAAAGATGGGTATAAAAGAATAGGAAGGAGCATCTAGAAACATACTTACCTGGACGGGGTCAATGGCCGATCAATAAGACCCATGGCCTAGGTTTGTGACCTCCATTGCACTTTGGATGGGTGCTTACCTAAGGTCGGCCCAAGTGGTCTAGCCTACGTCATAATTTGTTGCAGTGGGGCCTGCGTTCGCGCAGCCCCTACCCAATTCTTAAGCAAAATTTTGTTGTTTGGGATTTACTTATTCTCTTAGCGGCAGACCTATATATAGATTTGAACACCTTAGAACCAATACCAACATAGTGGCAATTGTATGCACAAAACTTATACAACGCCCACGTTCAATTCTCTTTACTATCCAAAGTTTGAACATGTATAGAGCGAGAAGTTCCCCACCATAACTTACATGATAACATGAAGTGAATGATAAGACTGGAGATGAACAATCTTACCAGCTCAAACGATGAGATAGTAAATTTTATTCTTCTGATAAATATGACAACACACATAGTGTTAAGAGTATATATTGGAAAAGATCATACCAAAGAGAACAATATCATTACCAGTTCAAGTTTCCATGACAATCGTGTGGGGCTTGACCTAAAATCCTTTTCAAATTTGTATAGGAATTCAGCTATCAAAGATACTCAGTCTAAAGAATCCTATGCCACATTTCATCGATTACCTTGTGAGCATATATTTTCTCAAAATCACAAAGGACTGATTGGTGAAAAAGAAGTAGAGAGCAATATTTTAAAGTAGTGAGGTGAGTACCACATCGATAAATGATGAGTAAATACAAACTTTGTCCCAATATAAAATGGAAGCACAAATAAGATGGAGAACTCACACAGCCACACTATGAGTACATAGCGAATTATTCTTTTGCCTTTTACTAAAGAATATTGTGTGCGCATGGAAATTAGTATGCAAATTCAATTTATTTCCACATGTGTCTTATAGTTATGATTTTTAGTATTTTGTATGAGCTAATTAAGTTCAAGTTGCAATATTTACTTAGAAGGGTGGATGTACATCTAAGGTTGGTCTAAGTGGTTGAGTCATAATTTGTCGAATGGTTGGTCCAAAGGGTCGAGTGTCGTTGGTGACCTCCATTACACTTTGGATGAGCCTATATCATAATTTGTTGAAAGGTTGGTTCCAGGGGTTGAGATATATTTGTCGTTGTTGACCCCCATTGCACTTTGGATGGGTGGATGTCCATCTATGGCCTAGTGGTCGAGCCTACATCATAATTTTTGTGTGGGGGGGAGGCGTATCCAAATTTTGTTGTTTTTGGTTACTTAATTTTCTCTCGTTATTTCGTTTTGAGACAATTTTTTAGAGTAGCAAATGATTTAACTTTTTATTTCTACTCTTACTTGTGAATCTTCCACCTTGGTTTCAAGATCCCTTTTTTGTGAAAACGAACTTATGTTTTGTCTATAAGGTTGAACAATATACCAGCACACATTAGAACAAAGTCTTAACGTTATCAGAAATATAGGTTGAACAATATACGAGCACACATTAGAACAAAGTCTTAACGTTATCAGAAAGGGTAATTTTCATTTGCACAATTGTAAAAAAGAGTGAAAATCTAAATGATAGCCTAAAAATGGACATTTGCATAAATCAGGTGTCTAAAACTAACAATATAGACCACACAAACTCTCTTTTAGTGTGCGCGCCATCAAGAGAACATCTTCCAACTTGTTAGAAACGGGTGAGAAGATCAATCTTTGATTTCAATCTACCAAATATCTCCTACTTTAATACTATATGATAGACGTTGAACTTCCCTGGTTGCTTCGTATGTTTATATTTCTTTCTATTTTGAAAATCCTGACTCCACCACTAATCGAAATTCAACTATTAATAGTTTAAGCATACGAGAAAGTCTAAAGGACAATTCTTAAGTCGTTTCTATAGATATTGAAGGACTGACTTGTGAGTACCAGGGGCGGAGCTACAGTGTCTTGAGGGTGTCCAATTCGTCGAAAAATTATACCGTACACCTAAGTAAAATCCTGTTCAAAATGGTTAAATTTAATACTTTGGACACCATTGTCATAATAAGCTGCTGTGGCTCAGCGGTTGGAGGCTCCCTTGTTGAGCTTTGACGCGTAGGTTCGAATCCCTGCAGCAACTTATCTTTTATAGTCATTTTTTAAAGAGCTCATATTTCCTTATTCCTTTAATTATCTAAGATAATAGTTAGTAAATTTCTTATAAATCTATAATTTTAAAATCTAATAAAGCTTATTGAATTTTCAATGAAGTTGATTTTTTATTTCTTTTCATTAAAGTATGAAATAAAATTTTAATATTTGTATAACGCTGTTAAAAGAAAGTCATATTTTTAAAGAGCTCCTATTTTATTATTCCATTAATTGTCTAAGAGTTAGTAAATTTCTTATAAATCTTTAACTTAAAAATCTAATAAAGCTAATTGAATTTCAATGAATTTGATTTTTTATTTCTTTTCATTAAAGTTTGAAATAAAATTCTAATATTTGTACAACACTGTTAAAAGCAAACAAAAGAGGACCTCATTTGTTTCTACTTCAATTTTTCGTGTCTCGATATTTTTGTCGTCACTAGAGATTAGTGTAAGTTTGAAACTTAAAAATGATTAAGTTACATATCATGCGATTTGATTTTTAAAATTTTAGAACATTTATTCATAAAAAAATATTAATAGTACCTAGTTTGATTTTGAATTTTTTAGTGCATCCATTTATCAATTTTTTTTTTTGCTTATATAATTCTTGGACACCCTTCATGAAATTTCTAGGTACGCCACTGGTGAGTACCACATTGATAAAAAACTAGTATATACAAACTTTGTCCCAATATAAAAATGCAGCACAGTTTAGTTTGATAACTCACGCTGTCACACAGTGAGCACAAAGCGAACTATTCTTTCGCCTTTTACTAAAGAATACTATGTGCGTGCTGCAATTAGTGGCATACGCCAATTTTTGGAGGGGTTCTCTTATTCCCCAACAATTCTAGTTTCAATTTGTTTTATACTTGTCCTAAAATTCAAATATTACTATGAGTAGTAAATAAATTCTTTTTTATTTGAAAATTGAAAGACAATACATGAATATGCCTTTTAACTTGGTTTTAGTTGATATTTATGTTTCTTTAGTATGCATTTAAACTTGCATAAAGTTGAGTAAGTAGACAGATGACATAATACATGTAGGATGCCAGCTAAGACACAAAATGAGCTTTCATTCAAATGCCACTCTAACCCTTCAACAACATCTTCCTTCTATCTACTTGAATAATTGATTTTTCTTCCCGAGCTGCGGAATTATCGAGTTTGATCAATAGAGTTTCATATTTGCTTGTAACTTGATATAATAGAAGTTTGAGCCAAAACTACTGAATCTTGACAAAGCCATTATTGTAACGATTTGATCAATAGAGTTTCATATTTGCTTGTAACTCGATATAATAGAGTTTGAGCCAAAACTATTGACTCTTGACAAAGCCATTATTATAAAGGTAGCTCCGCCACTGATACTGTTGGAAATTTTATATTCCCAAGGACTTTTACATTTGGTGACCTCCATTGCACAATGGAGGGGTGCCCGCCAAAGGTCAGCCCAAGTGGTCGAGCCTATGTCATAATTTGTCGCAGTAGGGGCCTAGTTCATGTGGCTCCTACTCAATTCTTCAAGCAAAATTTTCTTGTTTTGTATTTACTTTGTGTTCTTATCAAAACAGTGCCCACTGCCAAAAGCACTCTGGGGCACACCTTCAGTTTCTTCATTTTCGAGAGGTCCTTTCTTTTAATTATTAGGGCCGTCATGAGTGATGTCGAAATCAGTTCCTTCGGGTGGGCACGTCAAGCTCTGAAGATCCAAACTAGACGGAAGCTCTAAGATCTTCTAAACATGTGTGATGCATGACGTCTAGCTACTCAAACATGTACAAGCATATAAAAGAGTTCGAGCAACATAGATTATAAGGCCAACTTAAAGTAAACAACAGAAAACTGCTTTGTTTTCTGCTTCTGCCTATTAGGTCCTTTACTATAAACTTTTTAAAAAACACAACTTGCTTTCGAGTTCAGCTACTCAAGATGCTAAGTTCGCGACATTTTATCCATATCATTTTGTGAAAATATATCTCCTTATAATCACAAAGATACCAAAGCGAAATCATATCTTAAATTAGTTGATCGTGAAAGTATAAAATAGGACAGCTTAAGTAGTTTCTATTTGAAAAACATGTTAGATTTTCAATCATAAAGTTACTGAAAGAGAAGCAGAGAGCAACATTATAAAGGAGTGAGTGAGGTGAGTACCACATCTATAAACAACGACTTAAACAAACTTTGTCCCAGTATAAATATGCAGCACACATAGGCAATAAAACTCACGCAGCCACGCAGTGAGCACAAAGTGAACTATTCTTTCGCCTTTTACTAAAGAATACAGTGTGCGCGCTGCAATCAATGGCATACTCCAAAAATGGAGGGATTCTCTTCTTTAGACGACCCCAACAATACTAGTTTTAACCTTTTCTATGTGTCTTATTCATAGTAACATATGTTTATATTCTGATATTATAATATAGTGACACTCTTGGTGAAGGGTAGATAAAAATTGACTCAGAGTTCTTTAACCATTCGATATTATTGAACATCTTCTGGTCAAGGGTTGAGGAATATTGTCAAGAGGGAAATGATATAGAGGAGGAAATTCTAGTTGTGAAACAAAAAAAATGCAAACAGGATTCTCAATTATTATTTGAACACAGAGAGAATTTAGACCAAAGCTATTGCACTTGGCTGAACCAGAAAGCTACACATTGACTTTGCCCGGGCATAGAATTAGTTGAAGTGCACACAAATGTGTCAAGACACCACAGTAATAACAAGGAAAAAAAAACGAAAAAGGGTGAATATCAGATTTCCCAGTGCACATCATAGTATCGTTTTATGCAAGTGCGTTCGGTTTCCTTTGAACATTTTTCTCTTTACTTTTTTCGACTTATCTGGTTTTGTTCAACAACAATCAACTAGCTGTTTTAACAAGAGATCTGATTTGTAGATAAGATCTACAATAAGCCTATCCTTCGGATAAGTTGGATCCGTCATCACAGTATGAAACAAAGAAAATTAAACAAATAAAATGCGTCTCAACAGAATGATTTCCATCGAAAAGTTTAAGTAACTTGGCAATAATAGCAGTAATAATGTTTTCTTGAATTTGAAATATCTACAGAGGAGTTTTTCTCTCCCACCATCAAATATCAAGGTAATGGCTCTTGCGAATCTCCCAACCGCGATAAATGCAGATAAGCATCAGTACCTGTAAAGACATCAACAATTGAAGCCAACTAAAGTATATCTTGTTATTCAATGTAGTGCTTAAGCGTACCATTGCCATAAAAAAACTATTTAAATCCTACTCCATGTAGTCATAATCTTCTGTCATTCATATATATTTTACTTCTTCTATCTACAAGATAAAAGTTTTTAGGGTGGACTCATTATCCACATAATTTCAGATCGTGCATCATTACCCCTCCAAAATCGGATGCTGGAGATGCACACACAACAGCTTCTTACAACCTTCACAAACACTTGTCCTAAATATTTAGTCCAATTTTAACAACTCTAATGCAAGGGCTTAAAGAATGTGTTCATCACATCAACACAGTGAGATCTTAATTCACAACCAGCAGAAGATATTTCCAGGATTTAAATAAAGTCATAATCACTATTTCACGGGTTCCTGCCACACCTGAACTCTGTCAAAGTCTTTAAAATGCTTCTGACCTTTTGTGTTGCTCACTCGCCTTGATATAAAGGACACATCACATCCACCTCTGATAAATTAACGCCTATAATCATTTGTTTTTATAAAAATTATATTTGATATAAAAATATCCAAATCCATCCCTTTTTTTCAAAAGTAAAAAGAAGAAAACAAAATTCCCAAACCTTCATCCCCTCTTGGCTGGTTCCCATCTTTCCCTCTTTTACCCACCACCATCACACAAAAACATTAAAAGAAAAGTTTTTTGTCTTTTTGCTACAGTAACTGTTCTAAATGGGAGATAAAATCAAAAGAATAATGCACATATTTATGGAGTTTGGTTGTATTAGCTAGGTGGATTTCTCTTTTCCTATCTTCTTTTGTGGCTTTCCTTTGGTTATGCCGTTTCGACCCTCTGCAAAGTTTCTTCATTATCTCTTGTTAGTCTTCATTTTATGCGATTTCTGTAGCTAGGTATGGATTTTCTTCTCCTGTTTTAGTTAAGAAATGACTTTCTTATCAAATTTGATAAGATATTGTTTACTTTATGCTTTAGATTTGAATATTGAAGTTGTCAAATTTGATTCTTTAGATTTGCCCTCACCATTTTGGATGTTCTTTGTTGTGGACGCCTATTAGGGAAGGGTCGGAAGTAAAAGTTTTGATTTTCCATTTTTTTATGTCCTTTTTTTGGTTCTCATTTTATTCATTTCTTATTTCTAAGTTTGGTATTGATGCTCGCTACATGTGTGTTATACACATTTTATCCAACACAGCCGTCAAGTTGCCACATATGCTTAATCAATGCTCAGAAGGGTTTAAATTAGTGTGTTTCAACAACCATAGGTGTTTGGATGAAACTCTGTGGAGCAGAGTGGCAGGATGTCAAATTGGTACAAATAGAGGTGTGTATTAGATTATTCAGCCTTTGAATTATAGTACCAGATTTTTTATATCTATGTGAGGTAATACACATCTGAAATTTGTATAGGCGCGCACCTAGCCAAGCGACCAATTCTTTTGTTAGTAACATGATATTTCTAGGGCCTGGATTAGCAAATATGATAACACAACTAACCAGAAAAACATCTACCAAAAAATATATTCCAGTCTAGTAATCTAGAGGATAAAATTCATGCAAACAAGGGCGAGAGGTACTGTAACATACCATAGCCTTCCATGGAGATAATTTGCAAATCCCCTCCAAAGTAGCGAGCATATAAACGACTTATTGGAAGTCCATATCCATAACCAGCTAACGTAGACACAGTAGCCAAATCAATTGTATCAAGGTCTGAATGCTCATCCAATGGATTCCGGGCAGTACTGTAGAGATAAGTAAATATTTTGGGCAGACCACTTCTTGGTATACCACCCCCTTCATCTGAAATCTACAGAGCACATAAACCAAACTTGATAAGGATGGGTAGGAAATATAATAATACAATCCTTAGATAGGACACTTTGAGAAGGGATCATGCCTTGATAGTAACATCCTCTAGACCATCAGCAACTATTATTCTAACAGGAGGGGCAACTTTGTCCGAGTCCACAAATCGCTCTTCCACAGCACGCAAGGAGTTCTTAACCAACTCAAAAACCATCAAATGCAGATGTGTTGGCACATAGCTGGTCATGAATTCCCCAAAAAATAGAAGGATAAATGTATGGTATAAAGCAAGGGAAACAAGACTTTCCACAACAACTAAAGTTATGTTTAGAACATTTACATCAATAAATTTTGGGAGTAACGTAATAAGAGAAAGACAGAGGCAGCAAAGAATACCATGGAACAAAAATGGTGGACAAGATATATCTAGTTTACTGGATAATGACAATGAATTAGGAGTAAATGACGTACGGGAATGTAAAGTTTGGGTCCCCATAAATGTTGACCTTAGGTGCACTGCCATATTCACGCAAGCAAATAGAACGGGCATCCTCGGTAGCATTGCGTGCAACCTCCAAGGGGGACATTTTTGTATGTATATAGCCCACACAATCAGGAGGTGGATTAGGATCGTGTAGGGCTACATGCTGCCCTGTGTTTATCAGGAATGCAAGAAGTAAGAAATGCCACAATATGTATAGATAAAATAAAATAGTACTAGTAAAGAAAAGAGAAGATAAGAGTGAAACCGATAAGCATGCGGATGCCAATTCTAGACATGTAAAATCGATCAAGAAACTGGTGTATCTCATCCAAATCCTTATAATCAATCTTAGGGTGTAGATCCTTTTTTAGTTGTTGAACTCCCAAAGCCATCATAGGTACAACATTGTTGTGTCGTACTTTAACCAAATTAATCATTTTTGTGAATTCCAACTCGTCATTCTCATCTTTTATATCTGGAAACGATCTAAGGTCACGGAAAGAATCCAAATACCAATCCCGGACCTAATTAAGAAAGAAAGGTTTTAGAACAAATGAAATAAAAGAGCATGAGTAGTAGATGAGTGAGTGAGTACCTTTAGAACAGCAGGCTTGTGAGATAAACCATAAGGAAGAGTTTGTAGGTCAATAACCCTGCGAGCAATACGCATAGGGAGTTCCTTGTGAAGGAATTGAGATGAAATAAGCAAATTGCGGGGAGTGGGTTTGGAACCGAACTCCATCATGTACTTGAGACTCACACCAGTCTGCTTCATGGAACCCCATCGATGTACTTCCTCAATCAATTCCTTAGAAAACGACTCGTATAGTTTCTTTGCGGCCATATATGACTTGAGATCTTAACAATAATCTATTGAAAATGGAAGAAGCGGTATCTACGAGGCAAGTTTCACCCTTTTTATCCATTCATCCATCTTCTGACACACTCACTCACCACCACCACTTACTTACCACTTGTGCCCACAACAGCAACAGAGAGAAAGAGGTACCGATCCATCATCAAAATTCAAAATTCAGATAAGGAGAAAACAAAAACTCTCTTACTCTCTTGCTCGGGCGGCTGTTGCCTAATATTTAGCCTAAAAAGGGATGGGTATGGCTGACTCACACTCGCTACTCAGACCATTCCCTTAGTTCCTATTCCCCTTCTCTCCTTCCATTTTCACATAAATTACCCAAAATTACAACACACGTGGATGACATATACTCCACAAACAATTCAAAATATACTCCCTCGTTTTAAACGAAACGACCTATTTTGCCATGTTTAAAAAAATAAAAAAGAATTTTCAATCTTATAGTTCTAAATTAAAGTTATGATAAATACTTTCCCCGTTCAATAATAGTTGTCCATTTATCGCGGGTGGACCATTTTGGTTGTACCAACAACACAATGAGACTCGTATGTTTTTCATGGGTGCACTATTAATTATATCATAATTTCTATCACTTTCTCAAAATAGATATACAAATATACACATGATTTGTTTCAAAGTTAACAGGTGGACGTGCATCCCTACCTAGAGGGGTGGGTCTACCTCTGACCCTTGCTATTAAATATTAATGTCGGTTATAGGTAAATCAACCACAATAATGAGCTAAGGTTACTTCTAGAAGTATCTCACGAATGTTTAATGATGTTAAGCTTGCATTGACCATGTTTTATGAATTGTGTCTTCCAACCCCCTTCATCTTCTGTATTAGCTTGGTCATTGCATGTTATGTCATGAAAAGTCCCTTTTGCATGATTTTCATACTTTTATGCATTACTATCATACTTGGAACATTTTTGTACTAACGCATAATCTTGCCTACATTCTTCCAAATGTAGGGTCCGACGCTCTAGTTTTGCATCTCCGTGGCAAGGGATCACTTAGTAGATGTTGAAGATTGGTGAGTTGTAACACCCTGCTACTAGAAAAACTTAGAATTAGAAATAAACCGTTTTTTGAAATAATCAAATTTAAAAAATTTGATAAAGTTAAGCTAAGTATGAGTTTTGGGTCAACTTCAAATGACCATAACTCCTAGCTCAGGATGAGTTAGGTGTGCTAAAAGATATTGTAGGAAAGATCTTTGAATTATCTTTCTAACGCCACCGAGTTTGATCAATTTCGAGTTCGTATGAGGGAGATATGCCCATTTGAAGTTGGGTTGTATAGATAAGGAAAATAAAAATCAGATTTTAGAAGGGTATTATGGTCTTTTCACTACCCAAATAAATTATTTCATTTTGGTAATTACTTAGGGGTCTAAACTGAATTGGGTCAGCTTACGCACTCAAAGATTTCACGCTAGGGTTTTTAGAGAAAGAACGCAAGAGGAGAAAAGAGAAGAAAGAGTGAAAGGTCGTCGTTCTTGAGTTTTTGCTTGTGGATTTCACCATGGGTTGATCCCTAAGAGGTATGTGAGATCACATAGCGTTGGGTTCGTTCACCCACGTGCAAATCATGATTTTATTTAGCGAAAATTATGTTTTGAAACTATAGAAATTGAGTTCTTGATGGATTTGTTTGAAGTTTCTATTGGGTTCTTGATTGTTGAAGTTGTTGAGAAGTTCTTGATTTAAATTCATGAAATTAGATGTCTAAGTGTTTAGGGAAAGAACCATTCGAATCTAGAGGGTTTAGAGAAAGAACCATTCGAATCTAGAGGGTTTAGAGTTGAAAAACGACCAACAAAATTCATCAAAAATCTGGGAAAAAGGCATGGGATGCCGCGCCACTCAGAGCGCCCCAACCCAGACTCTGAAGTTCGGGCTCTGGCACCCAACGCCACTTCAGATAACTATAGTTCTTTAGTCTTGCATTTCAGTTGTTTTTCTATAAGACTTGAGTTGCCACTTTGGCTTAGTTGAATGTTATATTAAAACATTCTCAGTTTATCTATTCAAACAATTTATTTAGATTGTATTTAAGTACATTTTCTGTTGAGTAAGTCTTCCGCTGAAAGTCTAGCCAGACCAAGGGTTCACTTGGGGCCAGCAATGATTCTCGAGTGCTAGTCTCGCCTAGGGTGTAGGCTCGGGGCGTGGCATGAGTTCTCATGTTCCGAGGACCGATCCTTTATTTCACATGTTCTTTACTTTTCAGTACTGTATGTGATGTACGGGTTATGTCTTGATCACTCTTGATATACTAGATTACTTTGAGACCATGTTAGACTTCCGCTATGTTTTTATAAAACTCTTATATCTTGAAATTTTCTTTTAAACTCTCTTTATTTTTTATTATCTTGTATGATGTATGCTAAGTGACTTGTGTAGGGCTTCTTGGGGTCCCATATACCATGTTACGCATAGGGTATCATTTGGGCCGTGACACTGGAGTATCAAGTTTAGTAGGACAACATATTGGTTTATTTTTATTGGATCTCAGATGAATCCCAAGGATCTGTTTGGAGACTTTAATAAGATAGAAAAAAGTGGTGTTGTTGACTGCAGTCAGCACTCGGTTAAGGCAGGCCAACAGTCAAAAGGTGGTCAATAGTGTAACATCCGGCAATTTGAAATAACTGTGAAAAAAACTTGAAATCGAAAATAGTCATTTTTGGAATAAAATTCAAAATCTGGAAATTTGGTTAAGTGTGGGAAATCAGTGAGTTTTGGCCAACTTTGAGCAGTCATAACTCCTAGCTCAGGATGAGTTTAGGAGTAGTTCCAGTTATGATTTCGAAGCTTGTGGAATGATCTTTCCAACGCCACCGAGTTTGCTCGATTCCGAATTTGTATGAGCGAGTTATGCCCTTTGAAAGTTGGTCAGTTGGCAGGGAATCCGTCCGGAAATTTTAAGGGCATTTTGGTCTTTTCCCTAGCTATTTCTTTTGGGGTTATATTGTTGTGTTAGGCTGATTTTTGGATCATTTTATCCCATTTTAAAAGAGTGAGAGTGAGGGTTTTGAGTGAAGAAGAGAAGAAGAGGAGAAAGAGGAGATCAAGCAAGTTTCCGTCGTGGATATCGTCGGGGGTGATCCCCACTAGGTATGTGAGTTCTTAGTGTTGGGTTGATCCTTTACCCCACACACCAAACTCATTTTTATTATTGAGAAAAGATTGGATATGTTGTTGAAGTTGTTGGGTTGTGTTGTTGATTGTGTTGTTGAAGTCCCTTGTTGATTTGGGCATGTTTCCGGTTGTGTTTGGGTTGAAATCTATTGTATGTTGAGGGATTTATGATTCTAAATGGTTGGGGTTGGAAACCTTGGAGTTTAGGAGGTTTAGAGTTGGAGAAAAGAAGGAGAAAAGTCGAAGTTGTCGGGGAAAAGGGGTGGCGCATCGCGCCTTGCAGAGCGCCCCAAGAAGTGTTCTGAACTTCACCCCTTGGGGCGCCGCGCCCTATAGAGCGCCTCAGCTGGCCTCTGAGTGCCAAGGACGCCAAGTTCCCCCATTCTTTTCACACTTTTTCATACATGTTCCTAGGTATTGTACCTATGTTTCCTAGTTGTTTTCAACACTCCAAGGTACATTTAAACGTCAAGAACTCGTCCTTAACATGTGATAAAACACCTTCAATCCATAATTCCAATTCAAGGAAAGTTAGTTTCCAAGCTAAGTGAAGTTAGAAGTCAAGTGAAGTTAGAAGTAAGCTTAGAAGTTAAGTTAGTCAAAGCAAGTTTTTAAGGTTTTCCAAGAGTCTTCATTGAACGTTATAACTTCTTTTTAAGGCTCAAGTTCCAAGTTAAGTATAGAGTTTCAAGTCAAGCAAAGAGTATAGAGTTTCAAGCTAAGTAAAGAGTATCGAGTTTCAAGTTAAGTCAAGGGTATAAAGTTGAGTTCATTCCTCAAAAGTTATTAAGATGAGAGGAAACTGAGATTTCCAAAAGAGTTTTGAGAAGTTTGAGTACTATCTCTTTTTAAGAAAAGATGAGTTTTGCGAAAGAGTTTCTAAAATATGATTAGTATGACAAATCGAGTATGTCATCAATGTTTAAATAGTATGGTCTCTAGATATACCATCAATGTTTAAGCAGTATGAATATCCCAAGTCATCAATGATCATATTAAAATATGGTTTTGAGATGTTCTTTTTAGAAAGAGTTTTCAAGAGCCTTTGGGCTAAGCTTTGAGTAATTATCTCAACTAAAGAAAGATGTGTTTAAAACACTTATGAGCTAAAGTATTTTTTTGGGAGTAGTCTTGAGCACCGAATTGGGGACACGAGTTCATATTAACTCAACTCTTCATAAGAACCATGTAGCCAACATGGGATTTAATGGGTCATACTTTTTAGATGATCACGTAAAGTTAAGCTAGTGGATCCACTTAGTAAAGTTAGCTTCCTATGTCACGACAAGGTATAGGATGGTCCTTGGGCAACGTGAGGTAAAACGTTGTATCACTACTTAAGCATGTTGTGGTGGCTGTCGGTTAGAGAACTCCCACGGTAGAAATTGCATGGTTCCTCGAGGGGTTCTGCTTAGTATGGATGGGGGTATGAGACTTCATTCATGCATTGCACAAGTAGACTTTGAGAGGAAGCATGGTATTTTCATGATATTATAAATATGATTTTTGATGTCATGTTTTAAATAGTTTTGTAAGCTTTAGATATATGGCATGTGTCTCATTGCTTTATATTTAGTTCAATTATTCATGAGTTGAACAGAGCCAAGGTAAGTTCTCTTTTGTATCCCTTTCAAGCTTAAGTGTTGTTTAGCGGTCCAGCTCGCATACTCGTACATTCAATGTACTGATGCCAGTTGGCCTGCATCTTTTGATGATGCAGACGCAGGTACCCAGGATCAGCATCCAGCACGTCGTTGATCCAGCTGAGCACTCCAGAATCAGTGGTGAGCCTCCTTGCATTCCGGAGGACTCAATTATTTTGTATTCTTAGTTTTGTTTCATTAGGGTGTTGCGGGGTCTGTCCCAACATCCATCTCAGTATTTTAGAGGCTTCATAGACAGTCAGTCAGTTAGTATTGAGTCCCTCATCTATG